TGTACAGAGACATAGTACTGTGGCCATGCAAAAGCAAGAAGAAGGCCAAGTACGAGGTGTACTACCTCACAAAGTATGGAGAAAGAGTGCACTCAACGGACCAATGTCCTATGTTGAGTAATAGCACAGATGTGAAGAAATTCAAACCGTGTACAAAGTGTTTCAATGTGGTCTTAGGACCGAAAGATGCGTAACCGAGCCCAATACGCAATGCAGAACGTACAGAAAATAATTCAAATGAAGTTGCACTGTAAGGCGCCATATTTTAAGGAGGGTGCAAGCAAAATACGCACCATATGCTAGGTTTGGCTGCCTGTATGACTTGTGGTAAAACATGTCACCACAGTGCATGCATGTGTACTCCGCAGCCCCAGTGGACCATTCGAAGTGGCACAAAACAGTGAGTCCGCTTTTCGCACTGTCGAAAAACTTGAAAGAAAGCGTGAAAAAACAAAAAATGTAACTCTTGTTTCATTTTTCCCTTTGAGCCTCTCCGTGTTTTTCCTTTCTTTTTTCTCCTTTTATTCTGCTTTTGTGTTTTTTAGATTTTGCTGCTTTGCTTTTTCGCTTTTCCGACGTTGATACTTTTTTCGCTTTTTTCGCGTTTTTCGCGAAGTTAGAATATGCTACGGTCTGGATGACATAAATTTACCAAAGAAGATAAAAAAAAATATCTTTTTCCAAGGTTGTGCTTCATCGAGGCGAGATGAAGCGCAACCCAGCGTTTGTGGGCGCAACCAAGCTCATGTTTGTGCGATAAATGACTTTGGTTGTGCTCCCAAGCACTTGGTTGTGCTTCATCGAGGCGAGATGAAGCGCAACCCCGAAAAAATGATGTTTTCTGTTCTTTGGTAAATTCTAGTGAGATACGTGCCATACGAATGATAGTAGTAGTAGTCGTAGTCGTCGTCGTAGTAGTAGTAGTCGTAGTAGTAGTAGTAGTAGTAGAAGTAGTAGTAGTAGTAGTAATAGTAGTAGTAGTAGTACTACTACTACGGCCAGGACGGATGTGCTGCCCGGGAAAGTGTGTTTTGACTGCGCAGGGCCAATGTTTTGTGAGATTCCCCGTGTCGTTCGTTTGGGCAAACGGATGACGAATTTTTCCCTCATTTCATCAACATCATCATCATCATCAGCATCATCAGCAACAACATCAACATCATCAACATCATCAACATCATCAACATCCCAATTCACTGTAAAGTTTAACGGGGGTGGGAGTTTACTATTCCCTAATACCCTTTGTTGATCTTCCCATTGAAATGCAAAGTTTAACGGGGGTGGGAGTTTACTATTCCCTAATACCCTTGTTGATCTTCCCAATTGAATGTAAAGTTTAACCGGGGTGGGAGTTTAATATACCCTAATACATTTGTTGATCTTCCCAATTGAATGCAAAGTTTAACGGGGGTGGGAGTTTAATTTTCCCTAATACGCTCGTTGATCTTCCCAATTCAATGTAAAGTTTAACCGGGGTGGGAGTTTAATATTCCCTAATACCCTTGTTAGTGGGAGAACCTCCACAGAGTCAACCCCTAACTTGGTTGACCCTCTGGAGGCCCCTCCACCGGGTCCACGTATTCGGAGTTCGGAGCGTACTTGTACAGAACAAAAAACGATACTTTATGTATACTTAGTAGAAATCACAAGGTCAACAACTAACCAAAAACATTAGTTTCTGTGGACCCGGTTGGACTTTAGGTAAACTTGCTAGAAATCACAAGAAGTCAACAACTAACCAAAAACAATAGTTTCTGTGGACCCGGTGGGAGAGCCTCCACAGAGTCAACCCCTCACTTGGTTGACCCTCTGGAGGCCCCTCCACCGGGCCCACCTATTCACAGTTCGGAACGTAATTGTACAGAACAAAAAACGATATTTTATGTATACTTGGTAGAAATCACAAGGTCAACAACTAACCAAAAACATTAGTTTCTGTGGACCCGGTTGGACTTTATGTAAACTTGCTAGAAATCACAAAGTCAACAACTAACCAAAAACAATAGTTTCTGTGGACCCGGTGGGAGAGCCTCCACAGAGTCAACCCCTCCCTTGGTTGACCCTTTGGAGGCCCCTCCACCGGGTCCACGTATTCGGAGTTCGGAACGTCATTGTACAGAACAAAAAACGATACTTTATGTAGTCGTGGCGGAAGCGTCCACAGCGTCAACAACTAGCTCAGTCGACTCCCTGGAGGCCCGTCCAACGAGTCCGCGTGCTGACAACACGGTATACCTACAAGAATAACGATTCACCAACAACAAGCACACAAACATTCCAGCTGCTTGGGTGAGCTTTTCAAACTCCAAAAGTTTCTTTCCAACCGATTCTTGTCCAAAATGCCTACCTTATACATCTAACGTTAGAAATCGGCAAACTCTTCAACGCAATTTCCACGAAGTCATGAATCCGCTTGTTGATCTTCGCAATTGAATGTAAAGTTTAACCGGGGTGGGAGTTTAATATTCCCTAATACCCTTGTTGATCTTCCCAATTGAATGCAAAGTTTAACGGAGGTGGGAGTTTAATATTCCCTAATACCCTTGTTGATCTTCCCAATTCAATGTAAAGTTTAACAGGGGTGGGAGTTTAATATTCCCTAATACCCTTGTTGATCTTCCCAATTGAATGTAAAGTGTAACGGGCCTGCTGGGCGTAGTAGTAGTAGTAGTAGTAGTAGTAGTAGCAGTAGCAGTAGCAGTAGCAGTAGTCGTAGTGGTAGTGGTAGTGGTAGTGGTAGTGGTAGTGATAGTAGTAGTAGTAGTAGTAGTAGTAGTAGCAGTCGTAGTAGTAGAAGGAATAGTAATAGTAATAGTAGTAGTAGTAGTAGCAGTAGTAGTAGTCGTCGTCGTCGTAATAGTAGTAGCCGTAGTAGTAGTAGTAGTAGTCGTCGTCGTCGTCGTCGTCATAGTAGTAGTAGTCGTAGTAGTAGAAGTAGTCGTCGTCGTAGTAGTAGTAGTAGTTGTTGTCGTCGTCGTAGTAGTAGTCCTCATAGTAGTAGTAGTAGACCTCATAGTAGTAGTAGTAGTAGTAGTAGTCCTCATAGTAGTAGTAGTAGTAGTAGTAGTAGTAATAGTAGTAGTAGTAGTAGTAGTAGTACTAGTACTAGTATTAGTAGTAGTACTAGTAGTAGTAGTAGTAGTAGTACTAGTAGTAGTAGTACTAGTACTAGTACTAGTAGTCGTCATAGTAGTAGTAGTAGTCGTAGTAGTAGTAGTAGTCGTCGTCGTCGTCGTCGGCGTGCTTGCGTTACAAACAGTCGCACCTTCTCTTGCCTCTCCCTCCTGTGTTTCCCCCCTACCTTTCGTCCCCCCCCTCTCAAGTATTTTGGAAAATTAAACGTTTTGAGAATTCCAAAAGAATGGAGCTAAGGAAGTAAAAAAGGAGAACACCATTAGCAAAGGAAAGGACAAATAAAGGAGAAAAGTATGCTGGAAAATGTTCACTTCAAAAAAAACTTGACACAATAGAGGACCACGACAGCAAACATACTATTGAAGATCAATGCTGCTCATGGGCTACCCCCATTAAAAAATTGTTTGAGTGCTGTTTTTTTTTAAAGAAATTAATTGGGTTTTAACAAAACATCCTATATTTTGGGACATTAGACATTTTGAGAATTCCAAGAGAATGAAGAGATAAGAAAGTAAGATAGAAAAAACTACGAAAGGAAAAGAAAAGGAAAGGAGAGAAGGATTTTGGACAAAACAAATCTTCAAAAAGAGCTTGACACAATAGAGAACCACCACAACAAACATACTATTGAAGATCAATCTTGCTGATGGGGTACTCCTTTGAAAAATTGTTTGGGTGCTGTGTTGTTTTTTTCTCTCCGGGGGGGGGGGTAATAAGGCATGTTATAATCGTTTTTTTTTATGTGCAAAAACATGTTTCAATTGTTCTTTTATTAATTACTTAATTAATTATTTAAAATAAGATGAAAAATCCAAAAGTGAAAAAACATGAGCAAAACAAATTGGCCTCAGAAAAAACACACTTGACATAATACCGACCCACCCCAACAATTACACTGATTCAGAATTATTTTGGAAAAACTTGCCGCAATACCGACCCACCACACTAATCGGGATGCTACATTACGTGTGTTTGGTAGTTATCACCGCACAGCCAGGAGCAAATGCATCCATTACACCGGAGCTCCTTTGCCACCAAGAGCCTTTTCGAAACAGCTCCATCCCAACGATGGAGACGGCACTTGGATGTGCAGGACGAGTATGGCGATTGGAGACCAACAGCAACCACCAAGATGCCACGGTTTCAAGCACTGGGGGTTTAATGAAATGATGTTGACATTTGAAATGAAAATCTGATTTGATAAAAATTGATACGATTTGATGATGCTTGATGACGTTTGATGGTCGAAGGCTCGGCCATGGCAAAGCCAGGCTAGGGCCTAAACTTTGTCAGCACAAATCAGAACAGTTCCAATTCCCAATTTGGATTTTGATTGGTCCCATTTCAGGAGACACTTATCATGTCAGATGCAAAAACGGGATTTGTTGCTACTGATGCCACTTGGAACCAGTCATGACCCACTCAGCTGCATACAAGTTTGCATTGCGCGTGTGATGTCCTTGTGCCTCAATCAAGTTGACGGCACAGATCAGTAGAAGCAGCGATGGGAAAAAGCAGAGCTCAGTAGACGCTTCGGCTTTTGTGTGCGCACTGGAACCTGCATCAGGTGTGCTGGTTTTGCTTGATAAATCTTGATAATCTTGATACTATGTTACTGATCACAACACAGGGTGTTTGATATCGTGTGTAATTATTTTCAATTGTTTCATGACCTGTCCAATCAAAAAGAGACTTGTTCCCAGTATGCCCCGTTCAGTCGGCATTTTGTCTACCAATCTTTCCACGGTGCGAAATCTCCGAAGGTCTTGACAAGCTGGGACTGGCGCATTTGGCTGGTTGTCTTCATTGTCGGATCTGTACCTTGTCCACCGGTGCCGCTTTCCGTTGCCATGCTGTGTGCCCTCGTATCTCATACAGTAGTATCGTTCAACGTTAAAGAAAGATAAGAAAGTCCATGAAAGTCCTAAAGTCATCTAAAGTCCCGAAACATCTTAAACACATTGTAATACAATGAGCATGCGGGTCTGTCAGTGCTTTCCCGCTTGCTAGTGGCAATAGTCTCAATAGTCTTTCAGAAGGCACATCGAAATATGGATGCTTTTGATCTAATTTGCACTGTATGACTTCTTTGCAGCTTCTGAGTCTGTGTGGTTTCATATCCTACGTTTCATCATTCTCCAACGTTGCCTCGCAGATTGGAGCATGGTTTTGCTTAGGTGGTTTTGCAACACAAAGGTCCGCAGTCACCAGTGGAGCAGGCCGCGAAGGCCCGCACCGCACCTGATCTCAGTGCTTATAATTCCAGTGGTACCTGTGTTCCAGGGGCTTGTTGTCCAACACTTCTGGTGGATTTGTTCATATTTGTGCATTGAAATCATTGAACACCGCGGAACAAATGTTGCCCTCAGAACATGACTCCGCTCAGCTTCACAAATTCCTCATAATTTGGCTTTCGGCTCAGCGTCTCGTGTCGCATCGTCGATCCAATCGATCCAGTCGCGTCTTTGATTTGCGAGTCATCGACTTCTCTTCCGCCATGTCGCAGGAACATACTGAGTAACTTGTCGAGCTGACAAAATTTCAGTTGCAAGCATGATCTTGCAGAATTTTCTTTGCTGCTTCGGAACTTCAAAACATTATAGCGTAATGTAGGCAACCACAATCCTTCGTGGGCCAGTACTGAGTTATTTTATTGTGTGTGTGGTAAGATTTGGTGCCATGTGCCGGTCAAGGTACGTTCAGAGCAAGGTCAATCCCATCCTCGAGAATCTTGTGACAGAGGTTCTCTTGGAACGTCCTGACAACCCAGCGCCACTTTTGCAACAGAGATGTGTGGGAAACTGTGGCAAGGCAAAGGCATTGCATACATAATTGAGAAGCAGATATGGTTTACCCGAATACTTATTCAGTTTAGATTGATATCATATCCATTGCCTCTTTTTTGTGATCTTTTCTTCTTCTCCTCTCAGCTACCTCGTCCCCTAGCCGTGTGGACGACCTGAGGTGCCATTTATGGTGCGCTGGCTGGCAGAGCGATCCAAGGCTGGAAAGGAATCCCTCTACTCCTTGGGTGTGGGCGAGGCTGAGAAGCTCCGCAATGAGATTCGTCAATTGCAGGACTCTTCCTGGAGCGGCTTTCGATGCTTTGTGGCTATACATTCGAGTCGTTCAAGCATAACCTCCAATTGGTTTTGTTTTTTGGTGAACAGGTATGTTATGTTTGTCCGAGATCCATGAGATCATGCCAGCTCAGGAGTCTAGTCTACTCAGAAGAAACGATGATGCTTGCAAGTTTGTTGAAACATGAACACTCATGACACGGAAATTTGATGAAATTTGCTTCAACAAATGCCCCTTCTTTTAGGCACATATTTGCTGGCCGTTGTTAAAACGGTGCAGGATGACATCAAAACGCTTTCCGACAAGGTGGGGGAAGCCAAGACCAAGGGTGCTGAGAAGACAGAGAAGCCCGAGGCAACGGCTGGTGAAGGAGGTAAGGCTGAGGAGCAGCCCAAGGACTCATCGGAGCTCCTTCAACGTTGTATAACCTGTCATTGGTTTGGCAAATCAAATTCAATTCAACTTGGAAAGTGAATCTCATTGTGGTCCTAATAGTTCGCACGTGATCATACGTCATACGTCATACGTGTTCATTGCCACCGAGCTCATTGCAGCAGGAGGACGCACCAAAGGAAGAGGCTGGTGGTGGAGGCGACGAAGAAGAAGCTGAGGAAGGTGGCAAGCAGGAAAAGGAAGAGAAGGAAGACGAGGACCAAAGGAATAGCTATGAATAGGTCAGTCATCTAAAAATTTGGAAATATTTGGAAGCAATCTAGCAGGGATGACCTTTGACTCCCGCATGCTTAAAACAATAGCTGCTTGGTGCATGCCCACCCCTAGCAGCTAAGACGCCTCTGAGCGCTAGGAGGAGGAAGAATCAGACTTTGGAGATGATGAGGAAGATCAAGACGATGATTGGAAGCCTCCAGCAGCCTACATGAAGAAGGGACAGCGAGGCTCAGTGTCAGCGGAGGCCTATGGCGCCTTCAACCAGAAGCAGGCATCTCTCCTTCAAGATGTTTCAAAATTTTCTGCGAGCGCAGGTGGGTGTGTGTGTTTGTGTCTACTTGTTCCCGAATGCGTATCGCGAAGGGTTCTCTTTTTACTTTGCACTCCACACTCCACATTCTACACTCTACACTTTACACTTGACACCCCACACTCTACAGTACACTTTACACTTTACACTCCACACTCGACACTTTACACTCCACACTCTACACTTCGCACTTCACACTGTACACTCTACACTTGACACAGCTTGACACAGCTTGACACATCTTGACACATCTTGACACATCTTGACACATCTTGACACATCTTGACACATCTTGACACATCTTGACACATCTTGACACATCTTGACACATCTTGACACATCTTGACACATCTTGACACATCTTGACACATCTTGACACATCTTGACACTCTACACTTTACACTCCACACTCTACACTTTACACTCCACACTCTACACTCTACACTTTACACTTTACACTCTGCACTCTACACTTTACACTTTACACTCCACACTCTGCACTTTACACTCCACACCCTACACTCTACACTCCACACTTTACACTTTACACTTTACACTCCGCACTCTACACTTTACACTTTATACTCTGCACTCTACACTGTACACTTTACACTCCACACTCTACACTTTACACTCCACACGCCACACCCTACACTCTACACTTTACACTTTACACTCCGCACTCTGCACTTTACACTTTACACTTTACGCTCCACACTCTACACTTTACACTCCACACTCTACACTTGCACTCCACACTTCGCACTGTACACTCGACACTTCACACTCCACAATCCCCACCTCATACCCTACACATGACATTCCCCACTCAACACTCCACTGTTTTCACTGCCTTCACACTCCACTCTTGACTCCACCCCATTCCGCACTCCACAGTCTACACTGTTCCGGCAACAGGGAAAAATGTACAAGACTGTTGAAATAACTTGTTTCATCGTGTGTCATAAAAGTGTTTTACGTGACTGCATTCGGGTTCGTTGGTTAGGTTTCTCTTTTTCTATTTCTTTATATTATTATAGATATATTATATATTATGATATATTATATAATATTTTTTTTTTTTGTTTCGTCTCATGTCGGAATGTCATGCTCAGTTTAGTTTGCATTTTTGAGTTGGATCGTGTGGTGTTGAGGGATGATCATGCGGCCAAGATGCTAAGCGAAATCCGCATGAGGCATTCGAACCACCCGTCTACGAGAAGAGTGCGGACCAAGAAGCACGTATCAACGATGTGTTGTCGAAGAGCTTCTTGTTCAACGCTTTGAGCAAGGATGACCTCAAGGTGAGTGCCAAAGCCCTGGTTGACAACGATATAGAACACACCCGTACTCGCTATAAACGTCAGAGAGTTACAAGGCAATTATCTGGATCTCCCTCCCTGTGTTCACACCGATCCTTGGTGATTTCACACCTGCGTGATTACTGTCTTCAAGATTCTGCTGTCTGGGTTTATGGAGATCGTTCACTTCATTCAAAATTTTCCCGGTCCAATGGTGCCTATTGGGAACCAAATTTGTCATGTGGCTTAACAGGAATCCCCAACTCAACCAGTGAAACTAGCTGGAACCAACATGTTTGACCTCCGCAGGTGATTTTGGGTGCCTTTCTGGAGAAGAAGATCCCTGCTGGGGAACGCATCATCCAAGAAGGGGATGATGGCGATGTCATGTTCCTCATTGAGTCCGGTGCATTTGATTGCATCAAGAAGATCGACGGCCACTTGCAATGCAAGACTTGCCTTTCCGCCCACCAATCCACAATATATCATTTGCCTTGCACACAAGAACCACTGCCGGTTATTATGATTTTGCGATTATTCAATATTATTCACATTTATATATTCACAATGGGGAATGGTTCCCCTATGCTTTAAAGGTGGTCGGGGACTTTCAGATGCGATCTTTCGGAACTGAGGTTCAGACAAAGTGGTGAAGAAGTGTGGCCAAGGCGCGAAAAGGATAGTAAGCCTGCGTTGACCAGGTTTCTGCAGGATGTCCACTGATACTGAGAGGATCTGAGAGGGCAAAAGATGCTGATGCCACTGATGACACTGGTTTTGTTCTATGTGTTTGACTTGCTTGTGGAATGTCGATGGATGAGACGATCATCCCATTCCTTTCCAACTGGCTACTGGTTCATTGATCGCATTCACCAAGCAGTGCCATTCTTGTTGCCAGGTGACGTCTTTGGAGAGCTGGCATTGCTCTACAATTGCCCACGGGCTGCTTCTGTGGAGGCTTTTTTGTTTTTTTTTTGAACTTGGAATGACATGCCAAACAGATTCATCAACCAGTTGCTAGGCCCGCTCCGCCAGGTCACAGAAGATTCCGTTGTTTGGCAGTTGGATCGCGAGACCTTTAGCCATATCGTCAGAGATGCCAGTGCCAAGCGTCGTGAAGCCTTCCAGGATTTCTTGAAACTTGGCGAAGAGAAGTCACGAGAAGCTCATCATTTGCAACTATCCACAACTTCGGAGAATTGTGGATTATGAGCATTAATATGCATTTATGTAATGATCATGAATGCATCATCATGGGGGAAGTTTGATGTGATGCGCTGTCATGATACTGCCACTGGAAAGTCAAACATCGCGCCAAGCACCTAGGAAGACGGTGCCGCTCTTCAAACCTCTGGAGAGCTATGACCTGATGCATCTCGCCATATCTCGCCAGTTTTGATCCATTCAGGGGCCACTTGCATTATAAATTATAAACAGATGGACATATGATGAACTGATGAACATTGATGAAATATGATAGAGATGGTAGAAATAGACTGAAATGGAGAGGATAGCCGGCAGCGCGGGACGTGGGACGTGGGATGTCAGTGGAAATGTCGGAGTTGACCAGATCCAACAGGACATAACAGGACACAACTTCTTTTGGATCCTTTGGATATGGATGGGCTCCGTGCACTCGAACATTTTGCCCCAAGGCAGTTGGCCGATTGCTTGCAGCAGGAGACTCTGGAAGCTGGACAGACTCTTGCCAGAGATACAGTATGAGTCATACTGACAAAAAATTCCAAAATCCAAAAGATGCGTCCTTAGTTGTGGCCCGTTTTGTTTGGGCCAACGGCTCGCCCTCAGCCTTAGCTGAACCTTCGGGATGGCGATGGAGAGAGAGTAATGACAGAGGTATAATAAATCTAGATTTTAGTTACAATCCTATAATTTATAATGTCAGACACGTTCTTGAAATCGAGAGACACCTGGAATGGAATCATTGGTAATGGAGAACAGTCAGCGGTTCGTACTGCAACACTGATGAAATTCAAAGCCTTTTCAGGTAAATCCCAGAGAGAATGGAGCCAGACTGCAACACATACAGACTGGGCAGTCAAATGTAGTCACTGTAGTCATTGCTAATTATTCATTTCGTCAGATGAACTATGCCCAAGCGAGTTCCACATTGATTGCCAGAAGAGACTGCAGCTGTCAGCTATGACTCTATGAGAAAACAAAACATGCCTTTGCACTGTGGCTGCGGCACTTTGCGGATGTTAAGGAAGATCTTGAAGCAAGGTGATCCGGGAGATACCTTCTATCTCGAATCTTGTCAGAAGATAATCGTATAGCCGAATGTAGCCACAGAGTTGCACGAGTTTGGTTGCTTTTACTACAAAAACTCCAGCATTGAGTCGGGGGAACAATCACGCAACGTTTCTACTTGATCTTAGACTGACACCTGAGTGTGTCCGAGAATCACCCTTGTCAAAATGACCAGTTCGTTAAGCAATCTGAATGCTTTGCCTGCTGCTGCTAAATTTGACCCTGTGTTTATTGATGATCCGATTTTTGCTGTGGATTTTGGTAGCTATTGAGTCTTGAACTGTCTTTTAGCTGTCAACTGGCAGTATCTTAGGGCCTAGGATGCCTAGGGCCATGAATTGGGAAAAGTGCATGGCGGTGCAAGGTGGAAGAGGGAGAACTTGTGGCTACCAAGAAGCGTGAGAGTGGCCAGGAAGAGGCGTGGCACACGGGCACGGCTGCATGATTCTTATGATTTGATCTTAGATTGCTATAGATTGCTGCCATTCACAGGAGGTGCTTTCATACAAGCGCGGGGACTACTTCGGTGAACTCGCACTCTTGAAGAACGAGCCACGCGCCGCATCCGTGGAAGCAAAGACGGAGGCAAGGGTTTGCAAGATCGACCGCAAGTCCTTCAAGCTGCTTGCTTGCATTCACCACAGGGAAGCGCCATGCAATTTGCATAGTGGATCATAGTGGTGTAGTGGTGTGTGTGGTGTGTGTGGTGTGCATCTTCAGAGCACCAAGCCACGTAATCTTGTTGTGTGGGCTTCTCAAACCCATCCCATTGCTTGGCAAGTTACCAGTTTTCTTGAGCAAGAGAAGAGTAGGAGAAAGGTCAAGCAACAGAATGGACGTGCAACAGCAGCCCATAGAATATCTATAAGCTTGCAGCACAGATGTACCATGATGTATCATTTATATAGATCCGTTTCAGTCCCTTTTTGGAAACCTTGGAATCTTGCGGAGTCCTGAATGGCTCAGGAACATCCTCGGACAGTTGGAGGCGCAGTTCAAGGAGGCTGCATTGAAATACAAGCCTTGAGGCCCAGACAAGAACACCTGAGTCGGCTTTGAGTCGGCCGTGTAGCGCTGTTCCCTGAATTCCTATGACACCGTGCCTTGCAATCCCTTGAAGGTGTCCGACGGATGGAGTGAAATGCCACTCCAAACATTGCAACTGACGTGTGGAATGCGATGGACAAATGAACAGCCCCTCTTCTAGAGGTCCGGTGAACGCATTTAAGAGACACAAGGCGGGCATGATTCCATGATATTGTATAATATTGATTAATATTGTATACACATGTTTATTACAATACGTAGAATACGTTATATGCACCGCCTCTACCAGCAACTAACTCATAATTTGCAGAGAATCGTCGCTTCCACTCTCTTTGTCACTGACTGTTTCAACCCGCTTGCAACTCTGCTGTGAACTCAGCTGGCTCTTTGCGATCTCCCAGCTCAGCTCACCACAAGCCGCATGGCTGCCGTGCAGAGTGCCAAGCACACCTCTGCTCGAAGCACCCGGCGAAGCAGGACCAAAAAGATCGACACCATCAGTGTAGCAAGGGAACAAGGGAGAGGTCTGTGCCGCAGACACTCTATAGACATTCTCAGAATCCGGAGACTCCCATATATGATATATATGTGATGATGATTACATTAAATAGATTTCAATAGGAATATATAGATATATATATATAGTGATATGTGATAATTTTGCTGGGCTCCCATGCGCATTGGTCGAGAGTGGTTTCAGAATGTCGCAGAGCACTTTGAACTTCTTCACTGGTGATTTTGAAACACACTGGCCAGCCTTGAGTTCTTACAGGTAGCAAAGGCGGCAAAAAGACACCTGGAAAATGGAGACTACAAAGTGCCCTGACTAACTCCAGAGTTCGCAGATTTTTGCAGATGGATGTGGGGGATTGGCCTCATGTATTTCTTTTGGTGATCCGATAAGAAACTTCACAACGTGGCACTGGGATTTTCTGAGGTGGCCTACATGCTGTTGACTCGTGGTCTTCGGCTGCTAGGCAACAGCTGTAAGTAGTTGACGTTGCATGCAATGCATTGGAGAATGTCTAATGGAATCATTGTTAACGAATGGCACTTGACATAGATTGGATAATGAAGTTGACTGAATTTTATTGCTCTTCATTGCTACATTG